AGTGCGCTAATTACAAGTTTAAAAGTTTAAGACTCGAATCGCACTTGAACTAGTTCATGTCATCTCAAATTTTATTATAGATGTTAAATTTAAGATAGTGTTTTATCATTTTTTTTAATTTTCTCATTCCAATCTCCGTCTCATCACCTTTTTTGTGTTATTAATTCTCTTTTCCCGACCAAACCTGCAGAGATCGTATCTGCTTGTCTATTTTAATGAATAACTGATTTACTTTGATTTTATGATCAGAGTGTTATAGATTTCTCTTTAACCTGCTGTCACCCTTAAGATATTGACAAAAGAAAATTACCCTTCACAATAAGCTAAAAAGGAAGTAGACAATAACAATTACGCATCCCTCTTCCTACATCTCATAACTAATAATAACAAATTATTTTTAAATACAATAATAAATTATATCAGTTTACACTTTAGACGGGCGTTACACTCACAGTGAGACTTCAGCTCGAGTCTTTGAGCATATTGGGAAATCGGTGCGTCGCATCGTCTTAATAGACAATATCAACCTCACACTCCACATCACCAAACTACGAAAAAGCGATAAAACGAAGACCATCGCCAACCTCGTTGTCGCCTCCTCACTGCAGCAGCCCTCGCCTCCCTTCCTCTCTCTCTCCTTTCGTTTCTAGCGTACACTCACAGGAGACTTGCGAGTTTGAGATCGGGAAATCGCGTCGCCTCTTTAGCTCAACTCTCCGGCGATCAATCGACTCCAGCTTCATCCCCGTCGACAGCGTAGCTCCGCTCTCTCCTTCTCCATCGTCGTTCACCTACTGGTGTAGCAAATCGCAAGGAGTTGCGATATCATTCTTCGGCAGGGACAGTGGCATTTCTTTTCTTTCTTGCACTTTTCCGACGAGGCCCCCCACCAGCCGGCGGAACGAGCTCCTCCCTCGCTGTCATCTCTTTACCCCACGTCACTGTTCCTTCCTCCGGCCAAATTAGCGACGGCAGAATCAGACTTTGATCATTGGAGCTGTTTCATTGTGGGGAGTTGTTTCCTCAGTGGGGTCAGACTCTATTATCGCAAATAATATTTCAGCATTTTTTTCGATAATTAATTCGGGCAAGCTGGATTAAGCAAGTTTCCGACACTATATCGTTTTTTAAGTAATAGTAATCGATTGTTTTGTTTTTTTACGAATTATTTGTTGAAGGATTGAGCATTATCAAAGTTTATGAGGGTATTTTTTTATCTTTCTAGTTTATTTATATTGCTATGTTCGTTTATTAATGAAGAATTTTAATTCTTCATACTAAATTTGGCTATAACGAACTAATTCTAATCGAGCTCATTTTATAGTACATTAGGAATTAACTTCTCAAGTAATGTTAAAATTTACTTAGAAGTGATTATATAGGTATGCAATCATGATATTGGAAGAGAAAAACTAGGTGCTAAGACTCAGCTAATGTTGACCATAATTCCTACGGCAAAGTAATTTTAAATTGTTATGTATTGCAAGCCCTAATGAGTTCGACTCCTTATAAAAGGGCAAAGGTTAGATTATTGTTAACAATTGCCTTCCGCATTACCCTTCTATTACTATGAACCTTGGGAATGAATGGGATGAGAATTATGCGATAAATAAAATTTCTTGCCGATGGGACCTTCTGTTGAATGGCGAATTTGTTAGCATGTAGGTTGTAGGTTTGATTAGAAACTTGGTTTTTGTATTGGTATGAAGAAAGAAAGACACATATAAGTTTATGTATGACTTATGAGGTATATTCATATAAGTGTGTGGGAAGAGGTTAAGCTTGAAGTCTTAAATGCCTAGGTACCAATAAAAAGATATGGAATAAGAATTAATCGTGAAAGTTAATTATGCACATATGCTTGTATATACATACGTATGTATCCAATGACTGATAAATAATGTTATTTAGAATATGAATTAAGCTCATGTAAGTTGTTATGGATGTTAAATAGCGATATTGTCATTTAAAGGCGGACGGGTATTCGATTTGATTGATTGCCCGACGGATGGGCTGTGTGTATTAATATTATATATATTATTGTGATATTTAAATTATATATAATAATTTGTTATATTTACAAAGGTAGTAGTCTCTTTTTAGGGTGGAGATGCTTGCACTGGCTTAACAGAATAATTTTTTACTGAATTTCATAGACCTAGATTTAGTTTTAATTAATGACATGAAATTAAAATAAGTTCATTTAGGATTAATTCTATAACTTGGTACATATTAAATAGGAGTGCTTCCTGATTATTTCTTATCTTTTTACTCTAATTTTATTATTTACATAGAGTTATATTGTTATTTATTTTCATTATTATTGTATTTATTGTTATTTTATTTTTTATTGTTGTTTATTGTTAATACTATTTATTTTATTTATTTTGGCCATTGATTTTGGATGTTTTTAATTGTGCATTGGCATTACCGATATGTTTTAATTTGATTAATTATAGTTCTGCATTTTGATTTTGCAATGATATTGACTTATTGTCGCTTGGGTGATAATGCCATTGCTTTGTTTTATGTGGAATTGGGATGACAGTGGGGTCCACCTCATGGGTTTGTGAGACTGTTTCTTGTTATACGGATCCTGATTTCTGATTTTTGTTATATTCTGATTCTGTTATATGGATCCGATTTCTGTTTCTGTTTAGCCGGTACCATGGGAGATCGGCGCCCTTGTTCACCTACGTTACCGTTCCATTACTCGGGTTAGCTTTTCGTCGTTGCGCACCGGACAGTCTAGCATTGATCCGCAGCCCGCAGGGTGGTGCCTCCTGTTGTGAGCGCTTGATGATCTCAGATTGCGATGGAGACCCACCCGGGTTGCCTTCCTGTTGGTATGACAAAGAAAAAGAGAGGATAGAAAAACGAATGGAGGACTGGTCAAGGTGTGAAGGAATTGAGATACCGGAATCGGGACCAGATATGGGAGAAATCGGATGCCCTGGTCGGCACCAGTGTGAGAGGATGAGCCATGGTGGAAGGACGGCTCAATCAGGGGTTCGGTCCACCTCCAAGCTTGAACTAATTTCCGCGTGATGTGAATTAATAATGAAGATCGATTAATTGATTGTGAGTGCTGGTGATTTGCCATTTGTGGGTGACCTGGCTTTGCGTAGAGATATCTAACATAATTTAGTTCAGAGCAACGATAGATTAAATATGTTTTTACTTTGTAGTGACCCTTAGCGTGTGTGGTGCAAAAATTATTTACTTTCCTTAGAAACTTCCACGTCTTCGTTTGTATATTTACAGGAAGTAGGTTTTTTCGCCTTTAAATGACGATTTAAGGACTATTTTCGGCGGCAGGGGCTAATAAAGAATTTTTTTTCACCTGTAGTTCATTATTTATGTTTGCTATTCGTTTAATTTTATTGTGTCATAATAAAGCTATGTATACTAAAGTTAATGACTGCAGTTATAGGATTTGTAATACTTTTAAATCGTTTAATTATTATAGATGAGATAATTCATGTGAACCCATATTATAAATGTGATGCATTGTTAAATTGGGCCCGACCTGTGGAATGTTGTAGCCGATAATTTTGGGCCGAGATTTAATAAAATATTTGAGGTTTATGTTCTTCATAATTTGGGCATCTGAAATGTTGAAATTTTATACCGAGATAATAGATCTATGCGTTTCAGGCTCTACTGTTGACGGGCCTCGGGAGCCTTAAAACTTTACTTGGGCCCTAGTTGCCGCAGGTCCGGGCCCAGACGTGAAACGGGTGTACACAGTACTCCCACTATTTCCTTCTTTTTAATTGACTTTGATTATTTTTTTGGCTAAGTAGAAAATAGAGGTATGCCATGGACCCTACTTCAGGAAAAAAAGTTAATGGTGTTATGTTGGGGTTGACTAATAAAATTGGGGTGTACTTGAAGGTGTCTCGAATTGAGATTTTCTAATGCTTAGCATGTGGTGAATCTCCACTAGTATAACAAAAACTTCAGATGTTATTTTATTACTTAATTGGAAATGATTTAGTGAAAGATGAAAGACATCCCAGTATGCTGTGTGGTGCTTTTGGATCGAAAAAAAATACTTTGAGTAAAAAAAATATTTTTTTTTCATTGAAACATTAAGTTAACCTTGGTACACCTCTTAATAAATACTATTCTAATGTATAGTATTGACTGATTTTATTGAAACCATTAGTTAACTTGGTACACTCTTAATAAAATACTATTCTATGTACTTTTTGCTAATTAATGGTCACATTCTATATTCGTACTAAAACCACCAAACGAATTGTGTGTTTTGGTGAAAAGTCCTCTTGATAATTTAAATATTTTATTTTGTATTGAAACCACTAATTGAATTGTTGGTCTCCATACAAAGTAAAAGTTATTATTTATTCATATAATTATTTTTTTATTGACCGCTTGCGAGTATATGATACTTTTTCTATTACACTGAAATCACCAATTAAGTTGATGGTTTTAGTGCAACATTCTCTCTCAATGACAGAATAAATATTAGATTGATAAATAGTTTTGATTTGGCATTAGATTAAGAAATAATTTTTTGAAGAATATTATTTTTGTCAAAAGCCCATTTCTTGAAGTGTCTAAAAATGCTCAAACCATTTCGAGCAATTATCAGGTACAATATTATTGTTCACAAGTAAACATATAAAGCAAAACCTCAATTTGCGAAAATCTCAAATAATATTGATAAATTTTTAGTTTATAGAAATTCCAGTAATATTATTTTTAATATTAATATAAATTCATAATTATAATATTATTTTTATTATATGCATTGCTAAGATTAAATTAATAATTTTTGCATATTTAATTTTGACAAATATTTGAGTTTATTTCTCCTTATTTACAAGTACTGAATTTTTTTTTTTTTTTTAAATATGAAAAATTGTAAACTTTAAAAGTTCAAAGATGTGCAAACCAGTGACTGTATTGGGTTGGGCTGAGCCAAACTATTTTTGAGAGAGGCGGTTCGCACCGATTAGGTCGGTCCGCCCACTGAAGGGGCGATTCGAATAAATCAAAAGGGTTTGAGTTTGCTTCTCTTCATGAAAAAACCTTCATTACTGCAGCAAGCGCAGGGTTTTAGGGTTTTTATGTTTTTTCCTTCGAAAAGAAAAGTTCGTCGATTTATCTTCTTTCGATTACCAGTAAAATGTTTCCTTCGAAAAGAAAAGTTCGTCGATTTATCTTCTTTCGATTACCAGTAAAATGTGGCATTCCAACAACAGCTGCATTGAATTACTATGAATGCCAGATTAAGCCAAAACAATTACAGGTTTGTTTCCTTTTTTCCTCAAATTCATGGTTATTCTTTCTTGATTTTGATTTTTAATTAAGATTTTTGATTGATTTTGTTTGCTTGAAGTTTAAAATCCCTAAATGTTTCTTTGCTCTGTTTGTTTGCTTGTGGCTGTAGAAATGGCAGCCGACGTTTCAGTAAAGAACCCACCAGCGAATCCCTGCTGCACTGTGGTATGTTGTATGAATTTGATACTTTTAACTTTTCAGTTCTTTGTATTGTTTCTGTGTGTATGGTTTTCTTTTTTTTTCTTTTTTTTTTTTTAGATTCCTATATTTTATGTGATTATAATTTTTGGGTTTTAACAGTGGAAAGAGAAATGTACGAAGTTAGAAGCTGGGCGGAAGCATCTGAGACAAGCTGTGCAGATTCTTAATGAACAAATTGATAAGATTCAGCATCTGAGACAAGCTGTGCAGATTCTTAATGAACAAATTGATAAGATTCAAGTAGAGAATGTCAGTCTCAAGAAAGGTGTGTTAGAAATTTGAAATAAGCTATGTTATTCTATGAAATTTTAGGACTTGATTTGAGCAAATACTGGTGTGCATATTTTAGGTTACATCTGCTTTTTTTTTTATCATTATTATTTTCAATAACCAATTAAGGGTTTCTGTTATTTAATCCTTAGTGGTTGCAATTTTGTAATTAAGCTGGTGGAGAAGAGAGAAAGTAGTAATATTTGTCTCACTGAGTTGGGCAGTTTATGTTCTCCATGATCTCTTTGTATTGAAAGATGAATATAGTTTACATTTTTTTTTTTTTTTTTTTTTTTTTTTTTTTTTTTTTTTTGTCATTTTTTGTTTTATTTTTGTGGTTAGCGATAGCTATGTAATTACTATCAGCTTCCCTAGAAATTCAATATTTTATCCATCGTGCAGCATATGAGGAGGAGCGGTTTGAGGGCAGAAATCTGAGAAAGAGGGTAAAGAGAAGGAATTGGCTGTGAGAGTTACTTGGAGAAATGATCTTTCTTTGCTGAAGTCTGAAATAACCTCGCTTGTAAGGCAAAAAAGAATAGGCATATGTTTGAAGATGAGAAGGGGGAACTGACGTTCTTAGGATTCAATGTTTGCTAAGCGGAAAAGTGAGAATTCATCAACGCAGCTTTCAAAGCTACTTCTTTAAGATAGAGAAAATGAAAGGGCTGAATTTCCCTGAAACAAGAACGATTGTGGTGGGAAGCTATATGGCTATAATGAAGAAAATTTGACAGTAAGCATGGGAAACAAGTTGAAGTTGAGCAAGGTAAAGTTGGGCTGAGTTAAGTTATAAGGAAGCTAGCTTAATATTGAGGGGAAAGGCTGATGGAATGAATCAGCCTTTCAATTGGAGGGATTGGGCAGAAAACAAGTTGAGCTTGAAGTAAATCGGGATAGTGCTGGCTTGCTGGAGAGGAACACTTGAAGTTTGAAGGGCCATGGCAAAAAGATTAGAAGATTAACGAAAAGCATAAAGTTTAGTAGGCAGAGGACCGACTGCTGATTTCAGCAATGGCTACAAAGGAACGAGGTGCACGGAAAGACTTGCAGAAGGTGCAAATGGGAAAGAAAGGTCGTGCTCAAGAAAAGTCCTGCATGCTGAAAATTCTTTTCTCAGCTGTTTTTTTTTTTTTTTTTTTTTTTTTTTTTTTTTTTTGTGGTTTAGGATACATGTAATACTAATAGCTTCCTAGAAATTAATATTTATCCATCGTGCAGCATATGAGGAGGAGCGGTTGAGGGCAGAAACTGAGAAAGAGGGTAAAGAGAAGGAATTGGCTGTGAGAGTTACTTTGGAGAATGATCTTTCTTTGCTGAAGTCTGAAATAACCTCCTTGAAGGAAAAAGAAAGTGCATATGTTGAAGATGAGAAGGGGGAACTGAAGCTTCTTCAGGATCATGTTTCTAAAGCGGAAAAGGAGATCACACAGCTCAAAGCACTTCTTAAGAAAGAGAAAATAAGGGCAGATTCTGAAAAGAAGAGTGTGGAGGCACAGAAGAAAATTGCTACAGAAGCATGGAAACAAGTGAAAGTTGAGAAGGCTAAGGCTGATGAAGAAAGGAAGCTAGCTAATATTGAAGGGAAGAAGGCTGAGGAATATCAGCTTCAATTGGAGGGATTGAGAAAACAAGTTGATGAAGCTAAATCAAAGTTGGTTGCTGAGACATTGAAGTTTGAAGAGGCATGCAAAAAGTTAGAAGCAGAAAAGCATAAAGTTATCAAGCAGAGGAAACGTGCTGATTCAGAAATGGCTAAGGCAGAGGTGCAAAGGAAGCTTGCAGAAGCAAATGGGAAAAAGGTCGTGCAAGAAAAGTCTCATGCTGAAAATCTTTCTCAGCTGTTGGAGAATGCTAAACAAAGAATTGGGGAATTACAGAAGGAGATAGCTGAAAAGGCCAAGGCTGATACAGAAATGAAGAATGTGAATACTGGATGGAAGAAAGCTGAGGAGTACCAGATCCAGTTGGAGTTATTGAGGAAAGAAGCTGATGAAACAAAAGCAAAGTTGACATCTGAAATTTTGAAGTTTGAAGAGGCCAATAAAAGGTTAGAAATAGAAAAAAATCGAGTGACCAAAGAGAGAAAACGTGCTGATGCAGAGATGGCTAAAGCAAATGAGCTAAGAAAACTTGCTGAAACAAATGCGAAGTTGGCAATGGAAGAGAAATCTCATGCTGATCAGCTGTCTGGTCTGCTGGAAGAAAGTAGACATAAAATGGAAGAACTGCAAAAGCAGATGCAGGAACTTTTGCCTACTAGAAAAACAGTTGATACTGCTGCTCTTTTACCCGGCAAGGATGTGAAAGTTGAAATGAAGTTGAAGCTTTTAGATAAAGAATTAAAGCTTGAAAGGACTAGACTGAAGTATGCCAAACAGGTGGCTAAGTTGGAGAAGAATCGCAGTGGTATTCTACAAGATGAACTAGGCCGTATAAGGCTGGATTCTATTCAAATTTCAGAACGCCTGGATGCTCTAAATAAATGGTTCTCATCTAGTGTTGAATGTAGAGAGAGTTTGGGAAAGGTTAGTATCTCATTTACATATATTACACCACTTTGTATGTATACTTAATTTTGAGTTACATGGCTTGCTTCGATGCTGGTCATGGAATTTATATAAACTAAGCATACAGGTTTTGCTATTTGTTGCTACTGTCAGATGGATAGTCACCTGGTGGCTGTGTTTTCAAAGATTCTGGTGGGTAGAGAGCAAACAGTTGCTCTCACTTATTCTTTTTCATTGTTGGAACAGTTTTGGCATTTCAGTGGACTACTATATATGTGTTTAAATTGTTCATTTTCAATCCTACTTCCTCAATCGGTGGATGAGAAACGCAAGTTCTCATCCTCTTCTCCTCTCTCTTTCTTATTTATATAGTTTGTATAGCTGGAATATACGTTCTATATCATTGACTAATGAGTAATATTCCTATTTCATATGATCTTTTCTCATCCTCTTCTCCTCTCTTTCTTATTTATGTATACGTTCTAGATCATTGACTAATGACTAATATTCCTATTTCATATGAAAATATCTGTGCAAGTATTGTGGTGTTGGGTGGTGAGGCCTCACATCTAAACAGAAAAAAAGAAAAAGGAATGTACCTTCTTTCAAGTTTATTCATCAATGTATTTTTCAGCAGTTGCTTATGTACAGTTGTATTGCTGTTGTTACTCGGATCGGTTACCCTTGTGAATGTTCAGTTAATTTTGTGGCCTGGTTATTTTCTCATTGGAGCAGTTGCTTCAATGCTGTGTGGTCCAACCTACATCTGATAATCCTATGGTGCTGAAACTCTACCTATGAGAATTTATTCTAAAATTTTATTTGGTTCTTTTTGTATGAAATTTCATTGCTAGTAGTTTTTTTCTTCTACATAATTATAACATATGCTGCCTCTGCTTCAAGTTTACTTATTGGTTGTTTGATGCACTTCACAGGCTGGGGTATCATCAATAATGCAAAGGTCAAAGTTAAAAAGAAAATTTGATGATTTAGAAGCATTAAAGATGTATGCTCAAAATGAGAGTGAGCTTCTCAAGCCTAGTTGTGTGGCCATGGCTGCCTCTTTTCCTCTCACCCAAACCCTGTACTGTGCAGATCCATGGCTCCCAGTATCTGGAGGGAACTGTACTGGATCCATTTCAGGTATTGATTCTAAATTGAAGTCTCTGCATGGAGGCTCCTATAGAAAACTGTTACAGAGTTCTGCAATAAATTCCAGTTCAGGATCTTTTTCTGATGGTCAGTTGGTCGGCTCACAGGAAATAGGTGCTTTTGTTTCCAAATCCGAAAAATTGGTAGAAGAGAACTCTGATGTGCAAACAAGTATTTCTGGCTTGTCCGGTGAAGTGACTAAAACGCACTGTAATGAAAAAGCTGTGGTTGCTGAAAAGAGTGCTAGAAATCATCTTAGCATTGATACTTCTGGAAGAGGTAATGGACATGGCAGAAAGTTGGAGAGAATGCTTGATGCAATTGAATCTGTTGAATTTTTGTATTCAGAAGGTAAGAAGTTGCATATGCAGATGGAAGAGAAACTCTCTGTCTTGCATGGCATGTTAAATAGGGGTAATGAGAAACCAATGGCTGAATCAAAGTATGTGGAAGCTAGTGTGCAAAATGGTTCACATGCTAAGTGTGAGAAGTCTCACAAGAAGAAAAGGATACCTTTTAATGAGAGAATCATTTTGCAGCATGAGCAGGAGAAGACTACACAAATTGGGGATGAAGTCCATGCTGATGCAAATGCTTGCAGACATACTGGCCATCCTGGCATTAAGGATATCCCACAAGAATGCATCAAGGTTTTGGGTGATTCTTTTAGATTTGACTGTAAAAGTATGGCAGGGATTGAGAAAATAGAAAATGGGGAATATATGAAATTGCTGGACTTGGATGATACTGCAGATGAGGAATGTTACAGGAGAGCAATGGAAATGCCCTTGTCCCCTACTCTTCCTGAGATCGAGATTTCTAGTGCTGAAATATTTTCCATGGATAAGTTTAAAGCAGGTGATAGCTTCCATGGAGAATTGTTGAATGAGAAGGAAATTTTGATGCCTTGTAGCAGTTCTGACATTGTTGATGCGGAAATTAGTTCCAACAACATGAGATGTATTGCCTCAGGAGCTTCCTTCAATGAAGTACAACATGAGAATGAAGGTCTTGTTAATTCTTTTAATGTACTAGGCAATGGAAATGGCTGTTGTGATACTATGGAAGCTGAAAGAGCTCCTGATAGACAGACCAGAGTCTCTGATGTAATTGAGAAGTCACACATATGTAGTTCTAGTGATGAGGGACTGAAGTTTCTGAACTTTTCATCTGAATCCAAACTCGAATCTGCACATGACAATATTCCTACATACTATGTGGTGTTTTCAAATTATAATGACTATGACAGTGTTTCAAGGATATTTTGTGCCACAAGGACTTGTCTAGTCCACTGCTCTTTGGATACTGAAACAGAAAGCATGGTGAAAAAGGTCTTGTCTGTTCTTAAAATGGAAGAGAAACTTCTACCCAAGTAAGTGATTTATATCTATTGAAAAGGTTGTACATGGTCTATTTGCTGTTGTTACAAAGTTTAACATGAAATTTATTTGATTTTATTCGTATTAATGCCATGATTTCAAATCCAAATGTCCCAATATGGTTGTTTAATGGGGTTTCTGCGTTTTGTTACATGTTGAAATTGAGATTTTTCCCCTTTTCTTAGGGAGAAGGCTTGTACATTTTTCACATTGTTGCTGCTGAATTTCACTGCGTTTGATTTGAGGAAACCTGGAAGTTGTATGAATAAGAATCTTATGCTATGCTTAGACTCTTTTGCTGAACAAATAAATGCAGGTAAGTATTTTGTCCTGTTCTCTATGTTCTAGATTGCTCCTACAATCATTTAATCAAACGTGTCTTATCTTGGGCTGTTTACAGAACTTAACACATTAATTTCTTGAATGCAGTGGTGTCTGATGTCAAGTCAAGAAGCTTACTTGCAAGTTTATGTTGTTTGGATGAACTGCTCAGTCTTATTGAGGATTTTTTAATAAATGGGCGAGTTATTGAATGCACTATTGTACCTTCTGAAACATTGGTTGGATGTGATTCGAGGAGGAATATCTTTTTGAATGGTATAAATGTAAATTTGTCCTCCAAACCAGCTTCAGCTGACCAGTTGGTGGCAGGGAGCATCATATTGGCATCAGTGTGTGCAGCAGTAGACCGCATTGAGTTCATTTGTGAGGCTTCATACAATCTTCTGAGGATTCAAAAGTATGATATTGATATTTTATTAGCCATCCTGCATGTTTTTGCTTACCTTGGGGGTGACAGATTTTTCTCTCTGAAGGAGTACGGTTTGACAATGAAAGTGTTGAAGACAATAATAATTTTTCTTGAAGGAGGACATTCACCAGTTGCTTCAGCTGCTTCTCGTTTCTCATCTTTGCATGTGGCTGGAGTTAAGTTCCATTCATGTGGTAAATGTCCGTTTGGTGCAGTTTCAGTGGATATTGTTGTGACAGAGCTCTTGGAAAAGCTTCAAAATCAGCATCCCCCAGAATTAGCTAATCTACCAAATTTCCATGTCCTCAGTAATGAAAGTGATGCTAAACGGTGCTCAAGTCCTGAAGGAGTATGTTGTGCTCTTGATGCAAATTCTGGTGCATCCTGTTGTGTGATGCCTGCTACTCACATAACTTCTGTATGCAATGGGGCTTTATGTTACCTCAGTGATGTCCTATCATTGGTGGAACTGCTTGCGTGCTACATGGTATGTGGACTTGTGGTGGTGTTAAAAATTTATCATGTCATTTTTTTTTGAGTTTGTTGCTACATTGTATATCATATCTCACTTTCGTCTGCACATAGTTCTGGATTGCACATAGGTCTGGATTGCACTTATGTCACAAACTATGCGTAGTATTTCTGCCCTGTGATGAGGTATTGTAATATGATCATAGACCTAGAATTTCAATGTCATTTGATTTTGATGTCAAATAAATGCATAGTATACAATCATGACTTTTTGGTAAAAATTCTGAGTTCTTCTGATTGCAACTTTGAACAGTTTGAAATATGAATGTTAGATATATTTGCTACTTTATGGGATAACCAAGTTAATCACAAGGCCTACAAAGAGTCAGTCCGTGGATTTAGGCACTGGTTTCATTTAAATTGCCAGAAAAAGGGAAAAAGAAACCAAGAAGTTACATGGCTTTTTTAATTTTCCTTCATTACATTCCTATGGTGTTCTTCCCTTTGCTTAGTGACATTTTTCTTTCATACTGAGACTAGAAGCTGACATTTTATTTATCTCTTGCCTGTCCAAATGCAGAATTGGGAGTGGACTTGCGGGAAAATTATCCCTGCATTGTTGGATATCTTGGGGAGACCCATGCTAGATGATTTTTCTGTAGCTGTTGTTGTTCTCATAGGTCAGCTTGGGAGGTATGTTGTCATTATTAGTTGTGTGTAATGCGTACTGTGGTTGATTGTTATTAATTACCTTTCTTGCCTCTTGAAATATTGATAATTTTTAGGAATTCTATTGCATCTGTTGAACCTATAATTTGTTTCCCCTTTTTATCTGCTGTAAATGCGTATATCTACTTGCCAAAGAAGATTATTTCCAAGAGTTCTGGCGCGTGCAATTTTTGAGATACTTGTAAGCCTAGCAATAGCAGCTTTGTACTAAACAAGCCAAATTTTCCCAAGTAAATCAAAGATAGTACGAGATTGATTGAACTTGTAAGAATCTAACAATAGACATCCTATTTATTACAGGATTCCCCCCTTTAGTTCTCAAAATTTTCTTGGAAGATTTCTTTAAATTTTAAACTGACATAACCTAATTTACTGATTTGATCCTATGAAAGTACCCCATTAGCTTTTTAGCTTAAGGACTTGTTAGAGAGAGAGAGAGAGAGAGAGAGAGAGCCGAGCTCGCATGAGCTTGATGGATCTGATGTAGATAGGTCAGCTTGGGAGGTAATGTTGTCATTATTTTGGTAGTTGTGTGTAAGGTGCGTTACTGTGGGTTGATTGTTATTAATTACCTTTCTTGCCTCTTGAAATATTGATAATTTTTAGGAATTCTATTTGCATCTGTTGAAACCCTATAATTTGTTTCCCCTTTTTAATCGTGCTGTTACAATGTCGTATATCTCACCTGTGCCCAAGATAGAGAAATTATTTACCAAGACAGAGTTCTTGGCCGGCCGTCGAGTGGCAATTTTCTGAGGCATTATCTCTGGTTGTAAGCCTAATGCTTAATACGCTAGCTTGTGTTAACCTTAAAGGCCGCCCAAGATTTTTTCCGACTAAGTAACTAAAGCCAGGGTAATGTGACGGAGAGGGATTGTTTAATCTTGTTATAGTAATCTACAACATCATAGTACATTCCTGATTTTATTTATCAGGATTTCCCTCCCTTTAGTTCTTCATATATATGTTTTTCTTCTAGTGGAGATTTCTTAAATTGTTGAAAACTGACATAACCTAAATTTGACTGATTTGATCCTATGAAAGTACACCATTAGCTTTTTTAGCTTAAGGACTTTGCAGTTAAGAGGAGAGAGAAGAGAGAAAGAAGATAGGAGGCAGGCCAAGTATGTGCTCGCATAGAGCTTGAGTGAAGTATTCTAGAGTTTGTAGCCGTTAAAACCCTTTTAGCAAAGAGTGAACTTGACAGAGGGTGAGTAATTCACTAGCGGGAAGTTTTGGATCTAACGATTTGTGAAAATAGTTTGACTGTGCAAAATGGACAAAGCCGAGAGAAGAGAGACGAGAGAGAGCCAGAAAGCTAGCCTTGATGGATCTGAATGTAGATAACTGCAAGAGAGTGACACTTGAAAGAGGTCGATAATTTTTCATTGGGCACTAGTCTTTGGCACTATGATTGAAATAGTTTGAGTGTGCAAAATGTTTTAATTTTAATACTGATTAACCTAATTTTACTGATTTGATGCCCTTTATGGAAGTTGCCCTTTAGCTTTTCTAGCTTTTAAGGACTTGTTTAGAGTAGACGAGAGATGAGAAAAGGAACAATAAGACATTTGGCTATTTTATCGTTAAGCAGTGAATGTGCCCCCCCTTTGAGTTACTCAAAAATTTCTTTTAAGGAAGATTTCTTTAAATTTTAAACTTGACATACTACCTAAATTTACATAGTGAATCCCCTTTAGTCTTTTTGCTTAACGGCATTGTTTAGAGATGAATTTGAGAAGACAGAGCGATGCCAGAGCTCATGGCATGAGCTTTTGAATGGGATCCTGATGTAAGTATAACTAGTGAAATCGGAGTTCGAACCTTGAAAGGTACTGATAACATTCATGGGAAGTTTTTGGTGATTAAGATATTGATAATAAGTATTGAGTGCTTTGCGTGAGGAACTGTCGTGCACAAGATGGAAAAAAGGGGCGCGAGATAATCCGGGCGTCCTCTGCCCAGAGTAGAGCCTTGAAGTGGTAGTATAGGAATCTCGCTCAGATAAATAGCAAGTGAGGTGACACCTTGGGAACCGGGTTGATAATTCAATGGAAGTTTTTGGTACTAAGATCTGTAAAATAGTTGGGATTTTGTTAGGGAGCCTCGTCTGCCGAAAAGATCGGAAATAAAGCTCTGTTTGTTTCAGATTTATGATGTAGTTTTGGACTAAGATTGAAAATAGTTGACTGTGCAAAATGGAAAAAGCCGAGAGAGAGAGAGAGAGAGAGAAAGCTAGCTTGATGGATCTGATGTAGATAACTAGCAAAGAGTGAACTTGGAAGGGTGATAATTCATGGAAGTTTTGGACTATGATTGAAAATAGTTGAGTGTGCAAAATGTTTTAAATTTTAAACTGATATAACCTAATTTACTGATTTGATCCTTTGGAAGTGCCCTTTAGCTTTTTAGCTTAAGGACTTGTTAGAGAGAGAGAGAGAGAAAACAATAGACATCCTATTTGTTACAGGATTCCCCCCCTTTAGTTCTCAAAATTTCTTGGAAGATTTCTTTAAATTTTAAACTGACATAACCTAATTTACAGGATTCCCCCTTTAGCTTTTTAGCTTAAGAACTTGTTAGAGAGAGAGAGAGAGAGAGCCGAGCTCGCATGAGCTTGATGGATCTGATGTAGATAACTAGTAAAGAGTGAACTTGAAAGGTTGATAATTCATGGAAGTTTTGGACTAAGATTGAAAATAGTTGAGTGTGCAAAATGGAAAAAGCCGAGATAGAGAGAGCCTGATGGATCTGATGTAGATAACTAGCAAAGAGTGAACTTGGAAGGGTGATAATTCATGGAAGTTTTGGACTAAGATTGAAAATAGTTAGAGTGTGCAAAATGGAAAAAGTCGTGTTTAGATTTATGATTATCTATTAAGGTTGTGTTTGTTTTTAGAAAATAACTTCTGTTGGGACCATAAGCAATTTATATTTTTAAAAATTTATTATTAAATATGAGAAAGAAATGTATAAAAAAATGATAGATTGTGGTAGTTGTTGGTGGCCGATGACCGGTGATGGCGGTAGTTACCGGTTATTAGTGGGTTAATAAATATATGTTTATAAAATTATAAGTTTGTCGATGTCTAGAAAGTATTTTTCCCTTTTGAAATCCTTTAAAATGACTGGTTTAGCTTTGGTTTCAGGAAAATATTTTCCATTGATTAATTTTCCTAAGCCTAAATTCATGAATTCAGAAAATGTTTTGTAAGTTATATTTTGGAAATAGACAAAGCCTAAGAGATTTTTATTAACAGGGGAACATCTGAAATTTCATGAATCGGATAAATTCACCTTTTTTTTTAAGAGGCAAATTTCCTGATCTGATGTTGATGAGTCAGACCTTAATTGAATTTTCTATTATCCTAGACCTTAATTCATTACTACCTTTCAAGAATTTAAGTTTTTCCTGTTCTTGCTATCTCTTTTGAATTTGAGACCATTATTTTAATTAGCACTCTCATATTATTCAGGCTTGGGGTTGCCGCTTGTGGTTATGAGGATAAGGAGGTTGAGAATTTGAAATATAAATTATCTGGATTTCTTCAGCGAGATGCCACAACGAAATTATCCCTTCCTGTTCAAATTGCGGCTGTCACTTCCTTACTGGGGATTCTGCCATTCGATTTACAAGATGTTATTCAGGGTAATTTAAAGCTTCCAGAAGGTGCAAGTCAATTTGTTTTTGCTGACCTGATAAGGAATTGGTTTTCTTCACTAAGCAAGGAGCAACAAACCTTATCATCTAATCTCTTACACTCTGCTGGTTTAGTTGCAAGGTGAATGCCTCATTACTCTTAACCATGTGTTTTCATTCTGGTTTGGCCCAACCATTTGATGGCTTTTCTCCCATGAGAATAGGGAGATTAAAAAACTGGAGATTCTTTTTTTTTATTTTTTTTTATTTTTTATTTTTTATTTTTACTTTATGTGGATCGTGAAGGAAAAAAGTCAGGCGATTTCGATATGCAGCTGGTGCGGGAGCCCTTCATTCTCAATACAAATTTGTAAATTTTGAAACCATCTTTTGTATTTACATCATTTTTTCAGCTCTCATAAGTTGATTAATTAATATTTCCTTTAATTTCCTGGAAATCACTCTTTGACTGGAATGTGGAGAAGAATTTGCAGAATTGGTTGATGCCTCAATCTATATATGCACCATAATGGTGAATTACCATAAAGATGTGAAATACAAGGAAACATGATAAGTGACAGACTAACCATACAAGATTTCAAGTTTAATAATAAGTTATACAGAAGGCTTCATGGACCTATGTGGTATATACTAATCCACTTCACATGCTTCTTTGAAGGCCTAACTCGATTCTCCCCATTTGACTAGATACTGCATATCATACAAATTTGCTCTGGTTTCTAATGCCATAAAATAGTGTTTCTTTATATCACACCTCTAAATTTTGAAAATTTTTTTTCGCTCCCTCTGACTATTTTGGCTGTTCCTGCCAATGATGATACTCTTAATAATTGTAAGACTGAATTGGTGCTTGTAGGAAATATAGGATCACCGGTTTTTAATGGAGGAAATCAGCAAACTTGGATGCCATTGATGTAAGATATTGTTAAATGTCAACTATCTCCTGCGAAAGCCTAATTAATAATTATATTAAAGCATCTGACTGCGATAGGCAGTGGCAGGAGAGGCTGCTCTTTTTTTGCCTCTTTGTCTCATATATTTAAAGTAAATATTGTCAAACAAGTCACCTAAAAAAGACAAAGAAATTGACTTGGCCATAGATGATAAGAATAATAATAATATTTCTACATTTTCCTGGAAGCGGCATTCTGATCTTATTTCCCTTCTTATCTTTCTGTTTTCTTCTCTGTTTTTAAGCATAGATCTGCCTAAATCTACCAAAATAAACAACATGGAAAAAGAATCAAACCTCCCCGACAATCACAATCAAGAAAAAGAAGGAACAACATCTCATCATGCTATTACTGTTCTTCAGGCAGACCAAGAATGGTTAGCTTCAATGGAAAAAAAGATCATGCAGATGCCGAAATTATTGAACAAATCAGCAGGTAAGAGTTCTTGTTGCATCTTTAGAATACCTCAAAGCCTTGTCGAAATTAACGAGAAGGCTTATCAACCTCATATAGTCTCCATTGGCCCGTACCACCATGGAAAAGAACAGCTCAAAATGATTCAAGAACATAAGGGGAGATTTCTTGGTTCTGTTCTTGCTCGGACGCAAAAACACGGTGTTTGTCTCAGTGATTTCTATAAAGCAATAGCATCAATGGAGGAAAGGATTAGAGAGTGTTATTCAGAGAATATAGAATACAGTAGTCATGATTTCATTGAAATGATGGTTCTTGATGGATGCTTTATTATCGAGCTCTTTTGCATAGTTGGAAGGTTAGTACAAACTGATCTTGATGACCCTATATTTAATATGTCATGGATGTTATATTTTCTTATGAGAGATCTTTTAAGATTAGAGAATCAAATTCCCTTTTTTGTTCTTCAAACTCTATTTGAACTATCAATTTTATCTTCAAGAAAGGAAAACATTCCCTCCTTAACTGAACTTACATTAGGATTCTTTGATTATGTTGTTCAAAGACCCACGGAAGTTCTAGATGGATACAAGAACCTTAACGGAAAACATTTGCTTGATTTGTTTCGCTTGACTTTTATTCCTTCATCACAAGAAGAGCATAAAAAGATAAGTCCATTCCTTCAATTGATTCAATCTGCTAAGAAGCTTCGTTTAGCTGGAATACATTTCAAGCCTAGGGAGACAGAAAGTTTCTTGGATATAAGATTTAGTCGCGGAGTTCTTGAAATCCCTACTTTGACAGTTGATGATTTTACAAGCTCATTCTTGCTTAATTGTGTAGCATTTGAGCAATGTTATAATCATTGCTCCAAGCACATGACAAGCTATGTTACTTTCATGGGTTGCCTCATTGTCACACCTAATGATGCAGGGTACTTAAATGATAATAGGATCATTGAAAATTATTTTGGAACTGAAGAGGAAGTTGCAAAATTCTTTAATAATGTAGGAAAAGACATTGCTTTTGATATCCAAAGGAGTTATTTGGCCAAGTTGTTTGAGGATGTTAATGAGTATTACAGGAACAATTGGCATGTAAGATGGGCAGGCTTTAGGCATACATACTTTAACACTCCCTGGTCGTTCATGTCTGCCTTAGCTGCTCTTATATTACTCGTTCTTACTGTTATTCAAACTTTCTTTTCTGTCTATGGATATGTCCGTCCTTCTAACGATGGTGGTTGATTTCCATTTGAAGATAGAATCATCACATTGTAGATATCTAAATTTTAGTCTTGTTCAGAGAATTCTTGGATATTTACAATGTCTGAGAATATAGTAGCTTATTAGATTATCGTTGCAATTTGCAATTTGCTTATCAGATTATTGTTTAAAGAATATAGTAGCTTATTGATGAATCAATTGAACAAATGGGTTGTCAATTCAAAAGGGTTTTGTTTTCGATTCACTCTCTAATTCTTATTTCAGAAGTTGAGAGTGAATGCATTTGATTTTCGAAAGAAAAAACTAATATTTCGAGTAGATTGTTTTTAAATAGTTTCAGCAACATGGAGAGATGAGAAAGTTAGTTTTGTCCAAATTGAAATATTTGCTCTGAAAGTAACAAAAGCAGCCCTAACAATAGCGTCACCCTATTTTTAAAATGAATATATTATTTTTTATTCTAATGTATTTTATAAATAAAGAATATTAATTGAATTTTTAAATAATATTTAATAAAAATTATTATTTTTAACTCAGACATCTGAACAGAGATTTGGGTTTGTGTGCAATCCTACCAAAGAGGGTGTCTTTTTGTTTCCTCGATTAACCTGCGTCTCTATATTCTTATTTCATGAAGTTGTGAGAGTGTCAATGCATTTGACTCTTTACGTGAAGAAAAAACTAAATATTTCGCAAGTAGAATTTTGTTTTTAAATAGTTTTTCAGCCAACATGGAGAGATGGTAGAAGTTAAGCTTTTGTCCAAATCTGAAATATTTGCTCTTGCAAAGTAACAAAGCACGCCCTAAAATCGGACGCCGTACCTTTTTTGAGAGTTAGGTGTATTTCCTACAATTTTTAAAAATGAATATTAATCTTCAATTTTTTTTATTCTAATTGTCTATTTTATAAATCAAAGAATATTTCCAATTTGTTAATTTTTTAACTAATAAATATACTAAATTAAAAATTTTTATTTCTGGAAAAGTTTATACTGAAATAGTCATCAGAATTATATTAATTTGAAAATTTCTATTAAGTTTTTTAATATTTTATCATTAAATAATTAACTTATAATGATCACCAATTCCTTTTTCTTTCAACGTTTTAAGTTTAGAATAGTGACAATAATTAAATTATATTTTATCATTAAATAATTAACTTATAATGATCACCAATTCCTTTTTCTTTCAACGTTTTAAGTTTAGAATAGTGACAATAATTAAATTATATTTTATCATTAAATAATTAACTTATAAATAATATTTTGATATATATTCACATAAATTATTTGAATTGTAAAATTTTATATGTAGGATTATCAAGGATAAATTGATACGTATACAATTTGAATCTTAAACTCTAATTTAAAAACTTAGTTAGATTAATTGAAGTTTATATTATTTTAAATAAATCCACGGTATTATAATTTTTATATAACACAACAATGAATAAAGTAGAAAATAAATCTAATAATTTATAAACATAAATCATTTATAAATTATAAATTGCAAATTACCAAATTAACCTACGCAAAGCGCATATCTTTACCTAGTTACCAAATAAGCAATAAGTATATAACTAAATGGATTCCTTTTTCTTTTGGTTAAATTCTTTGTATATTTTAATTTTTTTTTTCATCAATACTGAAGTAAAGAAATTTTGAAAAAAATAGTTCTATTAAGAAAACATTTCCAATTATAAAAATAATTACAATTTAACTTTTAGAAGAAGTTACCTGGATTACCCGCTAAGGATCGAAATAAAAGGAAAAATAAGATGAAAATTTAAAAAAAAAAAAATAAGTTGGTAGCAGAGAAAAACCAAGTTGAGAAAAAATAGAGCAATATTTTAATTTAAAAAAAATAAAAATAAGAAATATTTATAATGAACTTTTGTTGAATATTTATAATTAAATGTTTTAAATATTTGAACTTGGTTGTCTAGCATTAAAGTATGCTAAATATGTTTGAATTATCAACATATACGTTTAGTTTCTTTCCATAATCGCTTTATAACTTAAATCTTTAACAAGTTTGCTAAGTTCAAAAAAAAAAAAAAAAAAATTTAAAGTTTTGGCCCCTCCACCCCCTAGTTCAAGAAAAAACAAAAAAATAAAAAAAAAGAATTTAACACCTAAAGTATAGCCTCAGTGGTAAATGCATATATGACTGACAATCAGATCGAGAATTCGAACCTCCCCCCTCCTAATAATTAAAAAAAAATCAATAATTAAAATAAAATAGCTATAATTAACTTAAATTAGCTACCTACCTAGATAGATTTGATAACATAGGATTAGTCAAACCCAATTCTACAAAACACACAGTGTTTTTACTCTAGCTAATAAAATTGCTACAAAATAATTATTAGACTTTAGCGATAGAATTGCTACAAATTAGAGGACGGAATACATCTTGGCAATTCATTACTACCACAATTTTCTAGAAACAGACTTAATAAAAAATAACAATGGATTTAACATGAATGAGAACTGGCTATAGAAAAATAGCTTTAGAAATGTTGCTAAACAGAGAGCAAAATGATTTAGCTACGGATTAAATCGCACATTTAAAAAATAGGTTTGGACTCGATCTGTTTAGCTACAAGAATTTGAATTAGTCATTTCCGTGACTTATTAGCAACAAGCATCCCATAAACGATACGCTTTTAGTCCATAATATTTCCTAGGGAATGAAAATTTTCCATAGCTGATTTGCCGTAGCCATAGTGGGATATAAGCTATGATTTATTAAAATTAATTACACACTTTTTTCATAACTATTGTACTGTTTTTTTTAATGATTTTGCTCTTTTGATTTAATTTTTTTATGATAACCGCAATTGATAATAGTGAAATTCAGAAACTTAATTGAAATTTCATAAGTTATATAAGATTAAACAAATGTCAAATAATAATAGCATTTCTTATCACAATATTTTATATTTTTTACAATAATAAAGCGGTCGGTACATGTACAACACAACCCTTACAGTTAAGTTTAATATATATTTCTCTTACCTTCAAATCTCTACCTATTAGATCACTTATTAAAATATCAACGATTACTTTAAGAAAAGATACACTAAATAGGCTACCACAATAAGATAAATAACTTGGCAAACTTCAAGCCCAAAGGTTGGAAACCCCCAGCCAGAAGAATGGAGTGCCCCAAGCCCCACCTGGTGTGTAAATACCTAGGACATTCTACAGAATACTCTCCTCACGTTAGATTATTTTAAGAAAATATCTTCACCTTACTCTAGAATGCTCCAAATGTATCTCCACCAGTACATTTTTTGTAAGTAATCATAGCCGTCCATTGAGGAGGTGGAAATGTCTAATAAATACAAGACCCCTCCTTCATTTGTAAGCACCAAGCAAAAAATCAAGTAATTCCTTCCTTAAAACTTGTAAAGTTTGCTTCTTAATTAAATACAATATTACTTTGCGTGTTTGTGTTAGTATTATTTTGGTTGCCTTCCCGTTATTATTTTTTGGTGTTATAATTTATTAATCAATCTTGAAGTTTTATCACTGCGCTGATAACTCACAAGTGATCAGAGCATTAAATCCACAAGTGGTATCAAAGATCAGGTTTGTGGTTGGTTTAGTTGTTATAGTCCAGTAAGTATTTTGTGGTGTTCATTTTACAGTGTTAGAGTATCGTTACTCTGTTGAATTAACAGTCGGGGACTGTTGTTTGAAGCAAAGAAATTCACAAGCAAGGATTGTTGATGCTTTGATGGTTAAGGACGATTGTGCATTGGTTAAGTGTCAGGAACAACAGTACATTATGACGGATTTTTCTGGAGTCTGCTAATCGCATCGAGAAGCTAAATAGCAAACAATTACGGGAACTGGAGTAGCCGTAATGAGATATTTATCTCATATGGGGCGAGGTAAGCTATGGGAATTATCGTCGGAGGAGATAATACTACACCACCAGTTGGGATGCGAAAGCTCTGAAGAGTGGGAGACAAATGCGGGAAGCGGCGATGTATGTGCTGACAGTTGCAGTAGAAGATGAGCAGATGCAAAGTGATTTAAGTTCGACTAAAGACGACCAAAGGAAGTCATGAGACATTCTCAAGGTTTTTAGTCCGTGCTTTCGCCAAGAAGAACGAAGCAAAATTGCAACGTGTGCGAAAAAATGAGTTATTCTCATCTCGCTAACAGAACGTGCACTGTAAGTCATACTTTTCTAAGTAAATCTTTAAATGTGAAGGAAGATTTTGAATTAGATCCAGACAGCGAGATCAAAAGAGACAAGGATGAGGAAGATCATCATCCATGTTTAAAGAACTTGAATTTAAGGGTCTGTGACTACTACGTCGTGTTGGGGCTTCACAAACCAAACCTTAGACGCGTTAAGAGAAATATCTTGTCCAACGAAGAGCCTTTGGGATGAAAAAAATGTCTAAGGTTGCTTTGGAGTGATGATGGAAAAGTTTTTTTGCTAAAAAGAGGGGAATTTCGAAACGTTGCGAGGTAGATGGTGGAACAAGAAAGGAGCAATCAACAAGGAATGGAAGAACGCAAAAGTGGAGACCATCTCAGCAAGGGAGAGCAAGGCCAGGACAAAGGAAAGACGATTGTGAGAAAGTAATCGTTGGCTATAGTAGCAACAAAAGAGGACATTTCACCTAGAATGTCGAAGCAGACGAGTAGAAGGAAAACACCAACATCAACTCCAGAATTTAAGCACAAAGAGTTGGAAGGAGGAAATGGGATCTTCACATTTCTTTATTTCAGGAGAAGAATATTCACGCATAGAAGCCAGTACGATTTGATGATGAAGGAAACCAGGAGCAGAGTCGTCCTTAATATCTGTAAGTGGAAATAGAATGCAACTAGTGATGGATGAGTTGGTAAATAGTATGATTTTGGTAGTTCTATCAAATGATAGGAAAATCAAGGTACGAAATTATTGGAATGTATCGATTTATGATTAGGAGGTCCGTGTTGTAGTCACAGGGAGGCAAAATAACACGAGATTGCCAATAGCTCCCATTGAGAACGACAACTATTGTTTCTCCTCCAGTACAGGAGAAAAAATGGAAGTTACATGATGGTTTACCAATGTGCAAAGATGAAGCAAATACATTGCCTCTGCTTGCTTATCACAAAATGCAAGTGAGTAATTATGTGGTGATTCGGTCCTGAAATGTGAAGGTTTATCATAACTTTACATTATCGGAGACTCCAGTCATGGAAGGACGACGACGCTAAGAATCAAT